AATCCAAAAAATTTGGAATGTTTTTTCGTAACCAATTTCGACCTATACAAAGCGATAATAACATTTCCGAACGGATCAGCAGCAGGTTCTGATAAAATAGTTCCTCAAATTTTCAAAGATTTTGTTAGTAAGTCGAATGGCAGTGCAGGACTTAATTTTCTGAAATCGCTTTCTAAGCTGATAAACCTCATTGGAGATGGCAAAATACCCAAACCCCTAAGACCTTTCTTTTTTGGTGCAAAGCTTATCGCCCTCATAAAGATAGACGGAGGGTTGAGACCGATTGCCATAGGCAATACGCTGAGACGTATCGCGTCTGAATGCGCTGGAATCAAGGCCCTCTCCGAGCGACAAATTTTTTCGGAAACGTTTAGGTAGGATGCGGTACCAAACGAGGAGCAGAAATAGCTGCCTACTCGTTTCGGTACCTAATTGAACGCGACGACAATCCAAAATGCACTGTTTTTTTAAAACTAGACTTTTAGAATGCCTTTAACTCTCTAAATAGAGAAACAATGCCGAATCATGTTTATTCAAATCGCCCCGAATTGTATAATTACACCCATTGCGCGTATGGTAAACCTAGTTACCTTTTTTACGGAAGCTCTGTCATAATGTCAGAAGACGAAACTCAGCAAGGTGATCCTGAAGCCCCACCCCTTTTTGCGGAAACAATTCATACACTAGTCAAACAGTTGCAGTCGAAAATTAACATCTGGTTTTTAGATGATGGAAATTTAGCCGACGACTATAAGGCAGTACTCCGGGACCTTAAAAACACTTTGAATTGGAACAAATTTACGGCCTGAGCTTGAACACTGAGAAGTGCGAACTTTGTTTTTTGGGACCGACAACTAGTACACAGTATAATTCAGTTTTAACGCAATTTCGAAAAAAATGCCCCAAAATAAAAATAAAAACAGAAGAAGAACTCCTCATTTTGGGATCTCCAATCGGCAAACTTTGCCTAAAAGAATTGCTCGACGAAAAAGTTAGGGAGCTTGAAAAAATCTCGGATGTTATTGACAAACTAGACGCCCATTGTGGTTTTTACTTCCTGAAAAATTGCTTTAGCATGCCAAAACTCCTATGTTTTTTGCGTACGAGCCCTTGTTTTTTGCAAACTGAGTTTTTGTAACGCTACGACAAATTGCTAAAAAATTCGTTATGCAAGGTCACTAAAGTGAAAATGGATGATAACCAGTTTTTACAAGCAGTTCTCCCGGCAGCCAAAGGTGGCTTGAGCGTTTCTTCCGCTCGTCTACTCGCTTTACCCGCTTTCTTAGCCTCAGTAGTAGGAGCGAAATCTTTGGTTTAGAGCAGGTGGATGGAACCTATGCTGATGCGCATAAACGGTGGTATGAACTTGGAAAAATTGACATGGCTCCGGAAAATGAAATCCAAAAAAAGTGGACGGAGCCAATTTTTGACAGCGAAATTTCAGAGTTGACTTTACGACTCGAACCAACGGACGTAGAAAGATTCAACGCGTTCCAGGATAGAATTGGCTCCTATTGGTTGAATGTCAACCCATGCAAGCTTTGAGGTTAAAACTGTCAAAACAACAACTCAGAACTGCGATAGGACTCCGATTAGGCTCTAAAATATGCGAACGGCATAAAGGCGTGTGCTGAAAAGACGTCATCGAGGATGGTTGGCATGGTCTTTCTTGCCCTAAAAGTGCAGGGAGATTCTCTAGGCATTCAAATCTGAATGCCCTTATAAAGCAGAGTTTATCTTCTACTCACAATTCGTCTGTTTTAGAACCACGACACCTCTACAGGGCCGATCAGAAGCGACCAGACGGTTTGACGCTCGTTCCAAGGGCTGTTGGTAAGCAGCTTTTGTGGGATGTAACGCTAGTAGACTCGTCAGCTCCTTGTAGCATTAATGCCGGGTCTGTTTGTAACCCTGGTACGGCTGCCGCTAAAGCGGAAGAGCGAAAAAATGACTAGTATAAAGATCTTGTAGATGATGGATATTTTTTCCAACCGCTAGCTCTTGAAATTCAGGGAGCGACCGGCCCCAGCACTGACATTTTTTTCAGCAAGCTTTGTAAGAACCTAAGCATATCCATTGAGGAACCCAGAGCAGGCAGCTTTTTGAAATAGAGAATCTCCCTGGCAATACAGATGGCGAACGCCCTTTGAGTACTCCGAACAAAAAATGACAAAATAACTTTCGACAAAACTTTTTATTTGTAACACTTGTATATTATATTTTCTCGTGTCGAGTTGCGTGCTCTTATTGAAAAAATGTAAAACGCATCGAATGTAATTGAAAACGACTGAAACACTTGTCATCTTCTTCAATCTTTATCACTTCAATATCTAGAAAATTCCAAGGATTTTGACTGGAATACGTGATGAAGAGACTCCTGACTGTAACCTCGGTTACTATGATACTTTTGACCTTCTGATTACCAATATGGCGGGCAAATATTACCAATCTAGCTGACCCAAACGTTCAGTTAAACACATGGGAAAAACTGAAAAACTGCATGAAAGAGTTAGTCGAAATATTCGTGCCTCTAATAAAGATACGCAGCAGTGGCAACCAAATGCCGCTAGCAAGGCCGGTCCGGTGCGCATGAAGATAAACGAAAAAGAGAAAGCCTGGGAAACATTCAAAAATTATCAAACAGCCGACAATTTAACCAAATATAAAACCAAACGAAATGAAATTACATCTGCCACGCGATCGGAGGCACTCACCCGTGAAAAAGAAATATCATCAGAAGTTAAAACTAATCCGAAAAAGTTCTGGAGTTGCGTGCGCCAAAAAACTACCATAAGAGAAGCAATCCCCGCTTTAAAAAAACCAAATGGTATGCTAACTGACACAGACGACGAAAAGGCAGAAGTGCTCTCAAACTTCTTTGCATCGGTTTTCACTGACGAAACCCCGTGTAACTGGGATATCAGCCCTCCGCCAACCGCCAGCATTGATGACAACCTGGAGCTAACAATGAATGACATCCGAGAAGAACTCAATCGGTTAGACACTTCAAAGTCGCCGGGACCAGATGGAATTCATCCTAGGGTCCTATTTGAATTACGAGAATTCATCTTAAAACCTTTTTTGATTATTTTCCAAACCTCTTGGGAGACAAACAAATTACCCGAAGACTGGAAGTTGGCTAACATTTCTGCAATTTTTAAAAAGTGTAAAAAATCGATGGCAGATAACTACAGACCAATCAGTTTAACATCAATATGTTGCAAGTTATTCGAAAAATTTTGTTCGAAAGCATTTAATGGATCATTACAATGAAAAAAGGCTAATAAAAAATGCACAATACGATTTTTGATCTGGACGTTCACTGAACTTACAACTCCTGAAAGTAATTGATGACTTCACCAGGGCAATGGACAACATTAAAATGTCGACGTGATATACTTGGACTTCAAAAAAGCCTTCGATTCGGTACCACACAAAAGACTAATCGGAGTTCTTAGACAGTATGGAGTAACTGGAAGAACCTTGAACTGGATAACAGACTTTCTTTCGGGACGACAACAGAGAGTGGTAATCAACGACTCAAGATCCTCATGGCAGCCAGTAAAAAGTGGGATACCCCAGGGTTCAGTACTCGGCCCAATACTGTTTTTGATATACACCAACACAATGCCGGACAAAAAAGCGTCAAAAATATATCTGTTTGCTGACGATGCGAAATTATACCGTCAAATTGAAGACAAATCGGATGTAACACGCATACATGAAGAATTACAATCACTAGAAACTTGGTCAGGCCAAAGTCTTTTGTCCTTTAATATCGACAAATGTGTTCACATGACAATAGGAAACAAGAAATTGGATATGGAGAGGATTTATAAAATCAATGGCGAAAACATTAAAAAAGTGCAACTCGAAAAAGACCTGGGTATCTGGCTTGACAATAAACTGACATTCGAAACACACATCACTAAAAAAGCCAATAAGGCAAACGGCATGATAGCAGTAATTAAGAAAAGCTTCACTTAAGTCACGAAACAATTATTTTTAAACATCTACAAATGCTTGATACGGCCACACCTTGAATTTGCGAACTTAATCTGGCACCCAAGACTGATCAAGCATCAAAAGATCTTAGAAAACGTACAAAGAAGAGCGACGCGTCTAGTTAGTGGTATGAAAAATCTATCCTATTACGAACGCCTTAAAGAACTGAATCTATCATCGCTGGAATACAGAAGGAAAAGAGGGACAATGATAGAAATGTATAAAATCTACTATGGTTTGTATGATAGGAATGCCACTGCGGGACTATTCGAGCGGAATGATAGGGATTCTAGAGGTAACGCATGTAAAGTAGTAGTACGTAAAGCAAATCTAGAAATGCGAAAAAATTTCTTCACGATTAGAGCACCTCTCGACTGGAACAATCTGCCACAGGAAACAGTGCAAAGCAAGACCATCGACGAATTCAAGTGGAAACTAGACAAACATTGGAAAGCGATTGGAACTGACATGTACGAATTTGAACGGAGATAGGAAAAAACATTTGAAATGACCACAAGAGGCACTGCTTGACTTGACTTGACTTGACAATGTATGTTTTTGACTCTGTGAGTTGTCTCAATTTCTATTCGCTAGCTTTCAATACTGCGCTTGCATTGTATCGCAAGTGATGCGAAGCTATGCTTCCCCTCTGTTTTGAAAGTTTTATCAGTTTTTATCACTGTTACATAAATTGAATAAAGGCAGGAATTTAATGTGGACATTGCCTCCGGACGAGGATTTGTTTGTCGGGCAATTATGCGATTCCGGATAATACTTTTTCGGATTGACAATGGCCGTAAAACCAACCTTCCTATCGTTTGGTGCCCATGAACTACAGTTGTTTTTGTAACGATTATGTTTAAAAGCACGGTTATTTGTTTTCTAGACTTGAGCCAATGGCGTTAAGCGCTTTTTTTCTCTAGCCGTGTGTAACTGGTATTTCTGTTAACGTACATGAAAAACTCGATACAATAGTGTTTGTTTTCATATTTAAGTGAGTTTGATATCCAGTGCAATGGAAACATTTAATCTCTGGAGTGCGACTCTTGACAAGGCCAACAAAGATAAACAATGGGCTTCAAGTGACGACGAAGATGTGCGCATTTTAAGCTTCAGTAATGTTTTCCTTGGTGATAGCAGCAAACAAGGGGAGCTGAATGTTGTTAACATAGAGTATACGGACGTTGATGGAGAAGATGTCAGCAGTGTTTTTTGTGTCCTGCAGAAAGGTGGGTGCGGCAACCGTTTCATAGTAACCAATATTAATGAAGCATGTCTTTAAATTGTTAGTCTGTTACACTAGGAGTGACGGACACTATTCAAATCCAGCTGAAAACCTCAGAAGACTTCAAGCTTGTTCTCAAAAAAGGAAATGGTCCAGTGTACGTCATGGGAACTCAGAGTACCCAGTTTGTCAATGACATGGATGATGCGAGTATGGACGATGAAGAAGATATGGACGAAGAAAGCGAGGCATCTCCTGTGAAATTGGTGAAAGGAGCTGGGACCAAAAAGAAGTTCATCGAGGCCGAAGAAGAAGACAGCGAAGACGAAGGCCCAGAGAAAGTGGAGAAATCCCCTCCTGCTAAGAAGAAGAAAATTGAAGAACCAAAGGTAGCCTCAATTATATTTGGGTTAAATATCGGTTTTTTTTCAGCATCTTCAACTACTGATAAGCACAATGAAATCCAGAAATCCAAACAAGGTTTTTCCATGTGAAAATTTACTAACTACGATTTAAATAACTTCAGTTATTCGTCTTTTTTTTCTATTTATTTGGCTACAAAGGTTTTACCTTATTTTCTATTGGTTCAGTGACCTCATATTGGGTCGTTAGATGTGCGAAAAAGTTATGCGTGGGTGTTTTCAAATGAAGATTGAAATTGTTTTCTTCGCGAGTTTGTTTATAATGAAAACGGGTGTCTGCTCAAGTTTTGTCGGCTTTGTTACTGCTTCGTAAGGTTTTTTGCGATGGTAATCTGAAATCCAGTTGTCTCTCTTGGCATTTTTTTTCTCAAAAAGAACTTGTTTCTAGACAAATATGTGATAAACATTTGAAGATTTTGATAGATGTAGCTTTTTCGACTTGAAAAAATGGATGCAATGGCTTCGTCTCATTTTCGATCGGCTCCTATGACATGAAATGTTTGACTTGTGTCGCAATTTACGCGAAACTATGCTTCGCCTCTGTGTTGAAATGTGCAGTTTGCTCAAAATATATGTTTTCAATGCTAAAAATAAGCAAGCTAATGAAAACATTATCTTGAATGGTAATTAAACAGCTATGGTTTTTTACAGGAGTTCTACGGGTACTGAGGTTAACCTATGGTTGCTCTGTAATTTTCGATCTTAACGAAGCTTAAGCGGTTCACTCAGTGGATTGCTTATTACCCTTGCGATAGCAAGGGTATTGCAATCGGGTACTAGACTTTTTTCCCTTAAACAACTTTGTCCACAGGACTCATTTCTGGACTCTATTTCATATATCCTTAGTGGCCTAATTTCAAGTGGTTTCAAAAGAAACATAGTTTTTATGTTCTTCTCTGGATCGCACAAAATGCTTAAAGTCTTATTGGAAATTATTGTTCAAGTTTTTCATAACAACATTTTTTTGGCTTTTTTGTTTTTCTTTTCTTTCGACTTGATAAGTTTCGGCCTATAATATATCAGTTTAATGGCCTCATATTGCGCCTTTAGATAGGCGAACTTAGTTTGTGTGTTCGTCCCTGTGTTTTGAGAGTGAGGGGGACTTAATAATATCTTATTAGTCTTGGAAATTTTTTGCGATTTTTCTTTTCCTTTTTTTCCGGCTTGATAGGTTTTTGGGTTATGTTTCTATCGGCTTATTCGCCATGTATTGCGTCGTTTCGCGAGCTGTGTTGAGGGTACGGGGGACTTAATAACTTTTTAGTAGTCATAATTGTTTAATTTTTTTATGGCTTTGTTTCTTTTCTCTTTTTTCTGGCTTTTTAGATTTTGGCCAATGTTTTATCGACATAGTGGCAGCATATTGTTTCATTTGACGCGTGGGGGAATAGCCACGCACAGGGGAGTCTTTTTTGATTTGTTTGAGGGCGTGGGGGACTTGATAATTAAAAAAAAAATTGTCCTAAAGGGTTTCTGCTAAGGGTTTTCCGGCTGTTACCTCGTGATAACTTTTCTTTCGATGATAGTTTCACATTCTTACCTAGCCTTATCGGTAGATCTAGTTCGAAGTTTTCGATTTTTTTTGACTTAGTGGCTTTCGTGTTTTGTATCGCAAGTGGCACGAAGCTCAGCTTCGAGTGTGTGTAAAAAGTTTACCTGATAACTAACTATTGTTTAGGTATCAAGCAAGCCGGAGCCGAGCAAAAAGCCTGAAGCTGCTAAATCAGATAAAACAAAGACTGCGAAGATCCCATTACCTGCGATGGATCCGGAGGAAGACGATGATGATGATGATGATGATGACGATGAAGATGACGAAGACGACGAAGTGTAAGGCATATATTTGAATTAACTAGGAAAAACAACAAGATCATTTTTGTTCTGATCAAGGAACTTTGTTTTCGGGTTTGTTCTAGTTTTTATTTTTAAGAGTCGATGAACTGGTTTGCAATGATGAGTACCATTGTAGATGATTCGATTTTCTGACGATGCACACAAATAAGTGCGAATGCACTTAATTGAACATTGATGGTATGCTCTGTTTTCGAACAGCAGAAGGACACAAAAAATTTGAGCGACTTTTAGTTTTGAAAGTGGAATTGAATTTTCAGATTTCCCACCGAATTAAATAGATCTGGCTATTCTTTTCCTACTGACTTTGTTTTTTTTGTTGCCTATGTTTTTGTTTTCCACGCAAAATTAGGTACCATAAATAAATGTCGGAAGGGATCGAGTGCTATCCCGCGGTCGTGATTCGAACCCTAGTCAAAAAATTTCTGTGTATAGAAAAACTGGCTTGAGATTTTTGGTTATTTACAATTTTGAGCGAAAAAACAAGTAAAGCTATAAAAATGGAAATAAGACATACAAATTTAGTTTTAACTCTATGAATTTTTATTTTCTAAGCTTCTTTACAGCAAAAAACTTAAAAAAACAACAAAAATCTGCAATTTATTTTGATCTTTTCCTTTTTTTTAAAGAAAACGGTGGTCCAATATGCGCGTTGTACTCTTTCTGTTAATTGTATTTTGTCGAGGCTTTTCTTCAGATCCGTTCATTTCAAAAACATCACAATTTGTTTGAAAAAAACTGTTTTTATCGGAACTAAGTGTTACCTGCACAGCAACCGGCTATCGTTGTATTGTTTTGTCTTTTATTCTTGAAAGTGGGGAGAAATTTTGTCACAGGTGTGTTAGTTTGTGGACGTAGAATCTGCAGCGCCAATAAACGTCAAAAGGGATCGAGTGCTATAGCATATTCTAGTACTCTTATGTTTAATTCAATTGTTGTTTGAAAACACTGTTTTCTTGGCTTCAAAAAAACTGGTCTGAAAGTTTCGATATTTAGTCCAATTTACAGTGAGTAAGACAGGCGAGAAGCACATACTTGAACTATGAAAGTTTTTGTAGGTGTTCGTTTTGAATTCAGTCGAATAATCAGCTATGTACAAACAATTAAATACCTATATGTTATTTTATTCGACAGACAAAGGCTAAAAATAAAGGCTAACAAGCTCTTCCAATTTGAGCGCTTGTTGCGATTGAGATGCACGGAGAACAATAAGAATAAATTATCCTTAATATTTTGTAAAGTTTTCCTATATAAAGTCAAAAACATGCTAATGTCAAACTTTGACATGCTGATTAATTTTAAGAGAAGTGAGCCTAGCTATTTCTGCTGGAATGAGATGCGACAAATCAGACAAACTATAAGATTCTTTCAGTAGATTCTTTCTAGTGTCCGTGCTTTGAATAAGTGAAAGCAGGTGTGGTGGTTCTTCCATACAAACAGGAGGGAAGAATTATTAAGACATTTTAAAAGATGTTCCATAATATCGTCAACAGTTAGTGTATGAACAGTGCTAATGTTTGAGTTATAGCTATTAAAATCATGTTTTCTCTTGAAATGTTGTTCTCCGTTTTGCCTACTCGATTTCTGATAGCCGAGAGAAGCAGGTAGAATCATAGGTTTATGATGCCATATATTTTTATACTTTTTGCACGAGAATTGTAACGCAAAAAGAAACTTCGTTGGGTAAATATGTCTTTTTTGTAGATAACACCACAAAAGCTATTTAGTGTTTTATCAACGCGGTTTTTGTGATGATCAAACTGTGTTTTGTTATCAGCTGAAATACTAGGATTTCTTTTAGGTGATACTTGATCACAGATTGATTCTTCTAACAGCTTGAGTTTTCCGAGGGACATCACTTCTATTAATGAAGTACAATATTGATGACGTAATTGTTGATTTAGAATCAAAAAACAGTCCTTGACTGGTGTTAGATCAGCTTTTATATTCTCAGATGAATGTTAATATAATTGACAATATTTGTATCATCAGCAAAAAGTGTTAATTTGATAGTTTGATATAGCTTTCGAATTTTTTTAATATATATTTACAACAAAAAGCGCCCTAAGAATGGTCCCTGTAAGATGTTTTTTGTAATGTTTTGACAACGATTGACTAAGTAGCTTTTCTTTATTTCAAATATTGGTCCTTCATAACCATGGAACTCCAACTTTTCTAGAGTGTTTGATGATCTAGTGTATCGAACGCTTTCTTAAGGGCAATGGAGATCGCATGACCTGTTAATTGCTTTGTCGGAATTTTGAAGTTTGAGGCTCATTTTTCCTTGTTTCACACAAAAAACGAGTTTCTGATTTTTTCAAGACATTCGGGAAAGGTGCGCTCAGCGAGTGACCTGATTAAATGATTAATTGTGATGTGTTCCTTTCTTCGAGATTCGAAACATGAAAAATATTGACTGTTTTTCAATCATCTTTTCCATTTGTTCTCTGTTGGCTATCTTTTATGTTGGTTGTAATTTTACAGACTCCGGTTTCAGTTTTGTAGTTCTTTTTTCGTTTTCATTTCTTTAGTCGGCTTTAAAGGTTTCGGTATAAATAGTATCGGCTTGACGACCTAATTTTGAGTTGTATGATAAGCGATAACAGTTTTTGAAATTTGAATTACTTTACCAGCTACATATACAACGCCAAACGCAATATATTATGTCTGGTCTGGTGGGAGATCCTAAAGAGCAGTACTGCTCATCGAGTAGGATATCCTGGAGAGTAAAGAGAAGACATACAGCATCAACTCAACAAACAAATTAATTTAAGCGCTGAAGTTAAAGTTTTTAGTCTAAATGTTTTGAGGAGGGGCGGTGAGAATTTTTTTTTACTCAAATCAGATAATGCCGGCTTTGTTACTGCTTTTTAAAGTTTTTTTTGTTGCTAATTCAAAGCTCAATTGTCTTGTGTTGAATATATTCTAAATATAAGTTATTGAAAATAAAAATTTTGTTAGATAACTTTTTCGAGTTTTCCCTGAAAATCGTCGTATTTTTTTGTCTCCCTTCTCTTTTACCGTCGGTTTATTTCTGGCGTCATGTTTGTGTTGTATCGCTAGTGGCGCGAAGCTGCGCTTTACTGCTGTATTTTATGTTTCTTGTAGAGGTTTTGTATCTCGACTTTTATTGCAGTTTTCAAAAATGTATTTTTTTTTTCAATTATCCGTTTTTCGAATTAGTTTGCATAAATGTCTATGATTTATAGGTCGTGTTATTTTTTTTGCTGTTGAAGTTCTTAAAGTTTGCATATACCCAAATTTGATTTTTGTTGTTGATTTTTGTTAGCTTTTTATGTGTTAAATTTATGCTCATTTGCCTTTACATGGAAAGCAGATTACGGTCTACAGTAACGAAAGAGTAAATTGCGCAAGCTCTTCTTTGAATTAGTTTCGAAAAGGAAGTTTAATTTTAAGATGTTGCCGTGGATTAAAAGATACGTATGGCTTCAGGTTTTCAAATTTGGTTAGTTTTATCGAAAAAGTGTCAATCTTCTTATTGTTCCGACTTTCGATACGAAAGTGACGGAATATTTGTGCTCGGGGTGGGTTTTTTTTTCTTCAGACAAATTTCGACTTTTTAACTAGCCATTTTTGACAGAATTTTTTAATGTCATTCAAAAGGTATTGTTGTCCTGAGCTTAAATTTCAAAAGAAATTTCACCTGTGATCATTTTTCGTAAAGTTATGAGGGTTTAAAGATTGCCATTTTGGTCGATTTGGGACAATTAACGCGCGATATATTTCGCGCTGTTAACGCGTAAGCGGAGATTTAATCCGTCTTTTGAATTGTTCCACATTGGTTGAAAGAAGCTTATTTACCATAATTGTTTTGTTACAATGAGCAAAGTCTCTTCTTTTAAACTTTATATGGCGTGTGGGGGGATGATTTCATAAAAAAAATTCAAATTTTAGAAAAAAATTTCTTTATTTTTTGTATTATTTTTAATTTTTTTTAATGTTATTACTGCTCGATAAAACTGAAAAGGCAGTCGGAACATTCAGGGCTTTGCCCTGATACGAGCAGTCTTGTATATGTTATATATTTATTTGTTATATATTCTTTTTTTTTAAACTCGAATGTTGGAAAATTTATGAGTTGTGACCTAGTTAATGCATCTGGAGAGAAAGTTGAATTTTGTGGACAGGTGGTGATATCACTGTTTGAATTGAATTACTTACTGCAGCCAGGTGCCAGAAAAGGTGTTACTGTGAGGCAATTCCAATTTGATTTTGAATCGAAAGCTTGAGGTGTTCTCAAATTTTAAAGGCCGTCCTTTTTTAATTTCACAGAAAGCTAAAAAAAGACAAGAACATTTTTAAGCTGTTTTTTTTTCCCGAAAAGGTACTTGCCATCGAGTAATTGTATAGTTTCTATTTTAGACCGATGCTAGAAACAAACAAAGATGGAGAAGATGACATGGATGATGACGAGGAAGATGATGATGATGAGGAAGAAGACGAAGAAAATATAGATGAATTGAAGAAGTTGAAGGCAAAGTTGGATTTGGACGCCGCAGAAGATGACGATAAAGATGATGATGACGACGATGATGAAGACATGTTGGAGGAAGAAGACAATGACGAAGGCAAGTATAATAAATGTTGACACTCGGCTGATATAAAATTTATCCTCACTATTCGATGGCCTGGAATTAATCTTTTGAAACTTGAGGGAAAAGTTGATTAGAAATCCCGACTCTTATCTCTCCTCTTGCCTCTCTGGAAATTTATCTTGTTTGGCGTGATTTTTCTTTAAAGTGAGCATTAGTCAAAACAACATGAAACAAAGAATTTAAAAAATCAAAAGATTAGCTTTTCTCGACATTTTCGAAAAGTTTTTTTTTCTCTTTAGCGGCTTTTGTCTCAATTTCTGTCTGTCCGTTTGTCATTTTTGTGTGTATCGCAATTGGCGCGAAGGTCTAATTTGCCTAAGTGTTAAGTTTGGCATGCGGACTAGTTTAGTTAGTGCTTCCTAACATATTTGATCTTTATATTTACACCTGCGAAGGGAAGTGTGTTAGTACGAACTTTCTTTTGAGACACCTTTACAACTTTTTGATAGCATGTGCTTTGACATTTGATTAGTAAAAAGTTAACACAGCTGATGCATTTTTAATTCATCAAATAAACCGAAAAAAAATTTATTTCAAACAGCAGTACAATGATAAAAAGCTCGGTTTCAGAAATCTTCCTACTCAAAGTATCTCGCAATTTTTTTTAAATGCATAATTTTTTTTACAAAATTTAGCTGTATGCTTTCCAGTTTATTACATACAAAATTGTGTCTTTTTGTATTTGGTGCTACTTTTGCGACATCTAATGGGCAATTTATTAGCATATGTTGCTGCGTTATTGTTTGCTAGTTTTTGGAGATTTAAGCATGCGAGTTTTTGCTAATTCGAGGCTTACTTTACTTTTTCTTATTTCACTTATGGAGCTGCATTTTGGTCATGTTCGTTCTCGCAGGTGCAATGCGCAGCTTCGCTTTTGTGTTTATCTTTAAAATATTTCGTTTGGGGGGTGGTGAGCCGAAATGTTTTTTTTTGTTTTGGTTTGAAGGACTAGAAAGGATTTTTTAAACATTTTTTTTGCAGTTGACAACATCAAGGACTTAAAAATAAGATTTTGCGAGGGAGGCTGTTCAAAAACTTTCCATTGCACTATGAAAACTCTTTTTTTTGTTAATAAAAATTTCAGCGGAGTAGGCGAATTTTTGAAAGAAAATCAGACCAAAATGCAATTTTTGGGACACTTTTTTGGAAGGATTGGATTTCTAACGTTTTTTTTTGGCGCGCGCATCCTCTCGGAATCAAACTTTGTCGATACAAATGATACTGCAAAACAGTACCAAATATTTGGGTGGGTGGGGAAGTGGGTAAAATAGGGAATACTTTGATTATGGACTAAATTGGTTCAATTTTTGTTTTTTGAAAAAAAAAATAGGTTAAGTTGGTAAGGTAGTTGATAAATGATATCTAAAGGAAATCCAATGTGTTTGATTTGTGTTTGTTCCAACGAAATGCGTATCTCAAACAGAAACTGTTTTCATAATTGTTGCTCTTTGGGGGGGGGGTTTGGTTAGAAGAGATCCTAAAATTGTGGTTTGAGTTCTACGGTAGATTTGTGGTGAGATTAGATTGTTCGATTGAGGATGCGTGATTTGTTTGCAGATGACGAGGATGAGGAGAATGAGAAGCCGGAAGTGAATGGAGACGAAGCGGGGTCGGATGAGGAGTCGGATGACGAGGAGTTGTTCCAGAAGGAGGCTGCGAAGAGGGAAAAGGCGATTGAAGCTGCGAAAGAACAGAGTAAGAAGAAAGGGAAGAAGAACAAGTCACAACTCCCCCCGCCCACCACTGCCAACTCACAGCCCAAGAAACAACAACAACAACAACAGATGAATGGTACAAACTCTTCGATGAAAGCTCACTCTTGCTGCCAATTTCTTCCGCATAATTCTCTGTAGTTTTTAATGAAGCCAGTTTTGTTTTAATTCTGCTGATTTCTTCGATAAGACCAAACTCACGAAAGCTACACTAACTTTTCCTATTATAATCGGAGCCTGGGGTAGTTTTAAATGACGAAGCTGAAAATGAGCTGCCTTTTTTTCAGGTACTGCAACAAGTGCGAAGAAGAACAAAGACAAGCGAGCTTCGGAGCCGCCAGCTGCCCAGCCGACGAAAGAGACAACAGACTCGAAGATAAAAGAGAACACACAGGCTGTCAACTCAGAAAGCACATCAGCTTCGGGAAAGAAATGTAAGCTAGAAGTATAACTTAGTCTCTTCTCTGTTGTAAGTGAAATGCTTACACTAGCAATCAGCTTGGTGTATTATTACAAAGCTTTTTTTTCTATCCTAACTCGCAAAGAAAAGTGTTCTTTTATTTGGAAATTTCACTGTAGCATTAGAAATTGCATAGCATCTGTTCTCTGCTTTATTTGTGGCTAGTGTTTTGCAGATATCAACTTCCATGGCTGAGAGATTAGTGCGCGAGACTCATAATCTCTTTATCGCAGGTTCAAATCTCAGACGTAGCCAAATTTTTACTAATTCGAGGCTTATTTTAACTTTTTTAATTATAGATCTTTTTGGTCGTGTTCTCGGTAGTGTTTGGGAAGCGCAGCTACGCTTCTGTGTTCCATATCGGTTTCGAGAAAAACAGATTTCATGTTTCCGCCTTAAAGAGAATGGAGCATTCTTGCATATTCTTATCTAATTGCACTCCTCCCACCGCCCAGAAAAAATTTTGTTTTTTACTAATTTTTTCGTTTGTTTTATATTGCTTTTCTTGCATAAAGGTGGTCGAAACATTCAGTGTTACTTGTCCAGCAACCGACTATCTATTCGTGGATATAGGATTTAAAGATTCAAAAAATTTAAACGATTGTGTTTAGTTCGACCAAATTGATTGTGCGAGCCCCCTGAAAAACCATACTTCGTAAAATTTTTATTGCCTTTAATGGGCGCGCGCTCCGCTGTAAATTGGTTTTTTAATAGCGCCTTAGGCATCTTTAAAAAAAATTTTGGGTCAAAAATGGATGCTGTAAAATTGTATCAAAGAGTAGGCCCCTCCCCTAAAACCGCTACTGCGTTTATCCATGTTCTTCCTTGACTTTGTTTCGAAATTCAGAAATGGTTTTAAAAATCAGTTTTGTCGAAAACATCATTAAAAACTCCTGAGCTTCAATCAGTTCTAAGACTATTTGATGGTTTGAAATTTCATTTGTAAACAGAAATTTTTTTGCTGCTGGGTGTTGCAACCGGTGCTAGACTTTCACCGAGAACAACTTCGTTTACAGAATGTCCAATTTACTAGAAATGGTTAATTTCTCGTGCAGAATGCTGACATGCTCATTTTCTTGGAAAATTTAAATGAAACTATTATACTTTAGATAAGTTAGTGGCTCTTTTCCAGTTCCCCCCCTTTCATTTTTTCTGAAATTCATTACATGAAAGTCTTTTTAAAATAATTTTTAATGTTATGAACTGCATTAAAACGTGTCAGCGTGAACAGCTGAACAAATTTTCACAACATTTCTAACATGAAAATTGCCGTGTGAACAATTTTTGAACATCTCTTTTTGTAATTTAACAAGGGGGGGGGGGACTGGAAAAGAGCCAAGTTAGTTTGTAGGTAGTTCGTTTCAGGCAGTCGTATTTTTAAAGAAACATTCTTATTTTTAAGAAACTCTTATATAGGTCGCGATGATTTTTTTTCGTTTTTTTTTCCAGGAAAAGTCTTAAAAACTTGTTCGGGCTCAAATCAATTTTTCGTGGTTTGACTTTTGATTCCATTTTAAGTGCAGTTCATTTTCTTTTCAAAGGAAGGCAAACTCCACTATCAAACAGCAAAAGTATAAAGGTCACGAAAAACGATTTACCTATTGATCCAGCTTTCGGGTTAATTTTAACAGAAAATTCCAATCATAAAATAATCTAGAAATTCATAGATCCTTAAGTCGGTCTTTTTTTTCTGTTTAATTGCGTTCATTGACTTATGCAACTGTCTGTTGGCTATGTTTTAATCGGCTTTCATGCTAATTTCGTCGGTTCATTGTCCATTTTTCAAAAATGCAGTTTGTATCACTTGATTTTTCATTGGCTTTTTTCCAATGCATTGGTTTTATTTTAATTTAAACAGTTATTCACTTATTGAAAGTTCTACAATTTGTAAATTTACTAAGACTTAATTAGTGTTTTTCGTTTAAACAGTTTCGGTGAATGATAATCGGCTTAGTCAACTTATATTGTGTAGTTTTGAAGGCAAAATATATCTTAATGCGTTTTTTTTGTATTACAAATTGGAGGTACAATTTTAAAGCTTAAAACGCATTATCGCTTTAGTTACTACTCGGCAAAGGATTTCTAATGATTTATATAGCTGTTTGTGATTATCATCTAATACAATCTTGAATTTTTCAACGTAATTGTTCTCTTTTTTTACTCATTAGCTTGAAACGCAATGTTTTTGTCGTATCGCAAGTATTTCGAAGATCCACTTCGCCTCTGTGATTAACCTGCTGCTGTTTTACCTACTGCTACTCAGTTACTACTGATTAAGCATGTGAAGCTCAGTATGATAGTACGATGCAACTTTTGTTTCCAACCTAAGTCTAAATTAAAAGGCTACTTTTGATGCCACTTTTGAATCAGAGGGCTGCATTGGAAGTAATACTTTGTTTTGACAATTGAGGTAATACCGTGTTTTGACATTTGAGTTGTGATAAATTAATACAGTTGATGCTTTTTTAGTTCATCAATTGAGGCGAAAAAAGCTATTTGAGAGTCGTTGAACGTAGTGAAGACTCTTATATAGGTCTTGGTGATTTTTTTGGATTTTTTTTCAGGAAAAAGTTGAAAATGCCCTAATAGCTACATATAAGCATTCATACTTATTCATGCATTTATGAATGCACTTAGATACATAAGATTTTTTTAAGAGTAATGAACGTAGCGAGTACTCTTATATAATTTTTGCTGATTTTTTTGCGAAATAAAAGTTTTACCTATAGATCCAGTTTTCTCAAATTGGGTTGATTTTAACGAAAACGGTGTCCATTAAAAATTGTTCTACAAATTGAAAGAGCATTGAGGCCATCTATTTTTTCTTCGAAATTCAAAAGCTGAAGATTTTTGGAAAAATCAAGTCTGTTTTTTTTTTCGGTTTTCTTGCGTTAATTACTTTTTTCCAACTGTCAGTTGGCGATGTTTGATTTGAATTAAAATTCATCTGCTGGAAATTAGATAATTGCACTCTCCAAAAACAAACGTGGAAATGGCTCCAAAAACGTGATCCAAACATGGAATTTACTTAATTTTTCCAGTGAAATAAAAATTTTGCACCTCGATCCAGTTTTCTCAAGTTCAGTTAATTTATCAAAAAAATGTCAAGCAAAAATTCGTCTTGAAACTCAAAGACGGTGAGGCCACATATTTTTAAGAGTCGATGAATCCTACATAGGTCGCGATGTTTTTTTTCGTTTACGGAAAAATTTGTTCAAGCTCAGATTTACTTTTTCGCGGTTTCACTTTCGATTTTCCTTTTGGAGTTCAGTTCTATTCCTGTGTTGGAAGGAAGGCAAACTCCACTATAGAACTGCAGAAGAAAAAAAATTCACAAAAAACAAGATAAATAGGACAAAAACAATACACAAAAAGTTTCGAAATTGGAATTTAATTTTCAGATTTCCCAGCGAAATAAAAAATATACTTATTGATCAAGTTTTCTCAAATCGGTATAATTTTATCGATAAAGTGACAATGAAAAATTGTTCTAGAAACTGGAAGAGCTTCAAGGGCGTCTTTGTTTGTCTCTGAAATTCAAGGGCGAGAATTTTTCGGTTTAATTGCGTTCATTGAATGTTTTCTAACTGTGTTGCCGATGTTTATTTCATACAACAGTAAAAAAAAAAACGAAAACTCCTTTCAGAAATTTTTCACCTCAGTATATTTCGCGAAATGTTTGAAATGCATAATTCATACAAATGGTCGCCTTTAGCTTATTACATTCCAAATTGTAACATGCAAGTTTGTATTTTTGTGCTTTTTAAAGCTTCTGAATGTTTTGCCACTTTCTCGCTGGCGTTTGCAAAGCTGCCGGTTTGCCTCTCAGCAAATGCTTTTTTAGAATTTCAGCTGTATCATTTTGTGGTTGATGATTTGTCTCTTTATGGTTGCAGACATAAGCACTATAGGCTTAGTTTTTGATTTGTCCCTTTGGTTTTTTTAAGTACTTGTGTTGTTATGCAATAGCGTATTAAGCAACATTTCAAGCTTTTTGAAGAGTCAATGAACGTAGTGAAGACTCTTATATTGGCATTAGTTAATTTTTTTTCAGGTGAATCTTAAAATTTGTTCACGCTTAAATATGATTTTTTTGCGGTTTGACTTATGATTTATTTTGAAGTTCAGTTGATCTCCTTGGCTAAAAGGAAGACAAATTGCAGTATCGAACAGCAAAATTGTCAGCATCATGGAAAATACGACCGACTTCTAGTTTTAAAAATGGTTTTTAATTTTCTGAATAACCAGCGGAATAAAAAAATGAATGATGAAGTTTCCTCTATATGGGATAACTTTACGAAAAAAGTACCGCTCATAAACAGTGTTCGAAATTCAAATATCTCAAGCGTTATTTTTTGAAAATCGAAAAATTTTTATACGTTTTCAATCTTTTCCCCGTTTTTCCTGTTCGTCTACCCTCTTCCAACTGTCTGCTGGATATGTTTTTTGTTCGTCTTTTTCGGATTCATTTTCGATTTGATTGGTCGGCTGTTTGATTATTCTGCTATAAATTTGTCGGCTATGCCCACTTAGCCTAACAATAAAGTCTATGCCTTAGACGACAAACGTCCTGAATTCGATTCTGGCCTGGACCTGTTTGTTATCTGAAAAAATTCCCATTGAAAAAATTGTCTGACTATCGTTTGTTGGCTTAGTTGCTACATCACAGACTGTTTTGAGTTGATTAATTTTTGCTATATTTATAGCCTTTAATTTTCTTCCAATCATTACTAAGTTTAACATCCATGATTTTGTTTAATTTGTTTGAATGGATAATATTTTTTTTATTTTGTGCTTCCCGAGAGCGAATGCATTTCAATTTTGAAAAATTTATCGGCCAACTGGCGTCTACCCAAGTACTTTTGGCTTTGATGTCACTAATTTTTCTGAACGATATTTTAACACTGACGGTTATCTTTCTCGGCATATGTCTTTCTAAGAGTCGATTAATGTAGTTCAGTCGATTAATATAGATGTTTTTTGTTCATTTTTTTTGTTCAGGAAAGTTTTTCAGGCTCAAATATGTTTCTCTGCGGTTTGATTTTGATTTCTTTTTAAGCTCAGTTCTTTTCCTTTGTTACAGCATTTCCTATCGAACAGCAAAAGTGGAAAGGTAGCAAGAAATGTGATCGACTTCTAATTTTGAAAATTGAACTTAGTTTCAGATTTCTCAGCGAATGATCCAGTTTTTACACCTGCGAGCATAGTGTACTAGTACGACTACTCTTTTTTTCCTGCCTAAGTTGGAAATTTTAATGGTACTTTTGGAGGCACTTTTGATGCTGGAGTTAACACAGTTAAAGTATACAACAGTTTCAAACAACTTCAATATTAAAAACTCAGAAACTTTTCAATTCAAGATATCTCCTAATTTTTTTGCCATGCATAATTTATACATAATTTGGCTTTGTGTTTTTCATTTTATTACATGCGAAATTGTGCTCCTTTGTATTTGCTGCCACTTTTGCTGCTTCGCATTGGCAATATAGGAGCATGTGTAGCTGCTTGATTGCTTTGTAAATTTAAAAGTTCCGTGATGCAAATACGAGAACAGGGTAATCTAAATCTCCCAGTCGTAGGATCGAATCCGCCGCAGCAAAATTTCTAATTTTCAAGGCTTATTTTTACCTTTTCTTTTGTTCAATTTATGGAGCTGATTTTTGCCGTTTTCTTGCTTGTGTTTGCGAAGCGCAGCCTCGCCTCTTTGTTTTAAATTTTTCTAGTAATTCAGGGCTTAGAGCAACTTTGAAACTCGAAAATTAGCTTTTTTTAAGAGTCGAATTACGTAGTTCAGACTCTAGTATAGGTCGCGATGATTTTTTCTTTCTAAGTTTTTTAAGCTCAAATTTAATTTTCTCGGTTTGTTTTTTGATTTCTTTTTAAGTTCAGTGTATTTTTCTGCTAAAAGGAAGGCAAATTCCACTATCGAACAGAAAAATTATAAAAGTCACGAAAAAACGTGATCGACGTCTAGTTACGCACATTCAATTTATTTATCAGATTTACCAGCGAAACAAAAATTTTATTTATTGATCCAGTTTTTCTAAAATGGGTTAATTTTATCAGAAAACTATCAGTCATAAGTTGTTCTTGAATTTCAAAGAGCTTTAAGACCATCTATTTTTTTCTTAGAAATTCGAAAGTTGAGATTTTTTTTATAAAACAAGTCAGTTTTTTTTCTGTTTACTTGCGTTCATTGACTCTCTTCCAATTGTCTGTTGGTTATGTTTGTTAAAATGAACTTCGCTTCTGTGTTACTTACATTTCTAGTTATGGTTTTAAGTTTACAATGCGTGTTTGTTTGTTTGTTTGTTTGTAGCTAAGAAAGAGAAAAGGAAGTCGATGCCTGTGACGTGGACATTTGAGTCGGCCAAGAATTTCCTCTCTGAGGGTAAAGTGGCCATGCCCAAGACAGAGGAGAAGTTCACGAACTTTGCTAACAACAGATTCCAAATCAACGACAAGAAAGTCGTCAAGCAACTGTGGAACCACTTCAACAAAAACTAGAGGCAAAGAACCAAACAAACAAAGACAGATCACATGTGCTGGTCTTCTGCAATGGACACGTGAATGAAACTCGCTTGTTTTCGTTTTGCTCCCCCGAGGCTACATTTGTTGATGATTTCCAAATATTAACTTGATTGCTTCCTTATCATAACTTGAGTGCAGATTTATTAGTAGACTGCAGGCCACAGTCTTTTTGCCAAAAATTATGTTGAAAATTTGTCTTGAAAAAGGAGTGGTCCGCGTTATAAGTCGAGCAAATCTCTATTTATACTTGAGTTTTTGGTTCTAGAAAATGCAAGTTGATTTGGTGACGTGAGTCTAATCGTTTGTTTTCTCTGTTTTTCTTAATAAACAGGAAATGAATAAATTCTCTTCATCGGCATGTGTTGATTGAATCTGAAGTTTTGAGTTATTGTGTATGGAAAACTGGCATCGGCGATGTTTTGCCATAGGAGGCAGATTTGTTTTCCACTAGTTTCAGTCTTAACAAAATGAAAAATATCTCAGCAGTAACTGAACCCGGCCTAGAGTCAAATGGGTTAGCCACTATACTAACCAGTCTGCAAAAAAAAACAATCAGACTGGAGACTTATCAACCAACGTAAAAATCTTTTCACGAACCAACTAGTGAGCGTAATGTTATTTAACGAAGTCCACTTTTTCAACACAACTCCCAAGTAAAAGAGCTCATTTTGTAGAAATTTTGTTGCATAATATTGGCAGTTAAAACGCATGTATTCTTCAATTTATCAGTGACCAGTGTTTGGTTTCTAGCGTCAGTGAAACCTTTGGGTAGGGAAGTCGACTTAACATTTGGATGTGCGAGGTATGATTCCAGTTAAATTAGGTCTTTTTTTTTACAGTAATGAACGCAGTGAGTACTCTTATATCGGTTTTTTTTGTTTTTTTTTTCAGGGAAAGTCTTGAAGTTTGTTCTTACTCAATTTTGATTTTTCGCGGTTTGACCTGTTATTTTTTTTTAAGTTCAATGCATTTCCATTGTTAAAAGGAGTACAAACTCCTCTATCGAACAGCCAAAGTGTTGAGGTCACGAAAAACGTGATCGACTTCTAATTTCGAAAATGGAAATTATTTATCAGATTTCCCAGCGAAATAAAAGATTTACTTATTAATCCAGTTTTCTCAAATTCGGGTAATTTTACCAAAAAAAGTGTCCATAATAAGTTTTTTTGCAAATTCAAAGAGCTTTAGAGTCATGTATATTTTTCTTGGAAATACAAAAATTTTCGTTTCAGTGTTTTTTTGTTTCCTTGCGTTCATTACTCTCCCGTTCCTCACATAGCATTTCCCACGGCTATGTTTACACAAGGAAAGCATGTGTTATAGTATGAATTATCGTTTTTCAACCTAAGTCGCAAAGCTTTTAAGGACAGCTAATGCTAAGGATATTAACACAGACTGTTTTATTACAAATAGCACTTTAGCTTCAAGGTATCATGGATCTGTTGCGTAGAGGTAGGGAAGGAGACACGCAACAGAATAAGAGGTAAGAGGGTTCGAAACTAGGCAGGGTCGGATGTATTAAATGATTTTTTTCCAATATTAGCTAAAAATGTGTTCGCTCTATAAATTGAGGCATGTTAATTGGTAATTTTTTTTCAAATTGACTGATACTGCTAATGCGTCATAATTGGCTTGCGTCACTTAGAAATTATGTTGACTCGTAATTGGCTTGCGTCACACAAGAAATTTTCCAGACTCCAAGTTTTACTCATTCTGTTTTTCCCAGTAGCGTTATCGGTCATATTTTCGCTTGTGTATGCGAAGTGCAACTTCGCCTCTGTGTTAAACATTGAAGTGCCCCCTGGGATGGGTGATCCACCATCCTACATGGAGCCTTTGTTGCGAACTCAGGCATATAGCAAGCAAGTTTTTAAAATGATAGCCTTTACCTCGAATGCAAAGTGGCCATTTGGTACCTTTTTTTGCAGAAGGTTCGTTAAATCCACTGACTCTGGTCCTTTTTTTGCAAGAGTTTATTTTTTAAGAACTCTCCTTTACACAAGCAAAGCTTGTGTTATAGTATGAACTCTCTTCTTTCCAACCTAAGTCGCAATTTTTGCTGCGACGCAAAAATATTGTTGTGACAAAATGTGTTCGTTTTGAAAGTGTTAATTTTGATCAATAACCAGCGATTAGGTTCAGCCAATGCTAAGGATGTTAAGTCTGACTATATATTACAAATAGCTCTTTAGCTTCAAGGTATCATGGATCTGTTGCGTAGAGGTAGGGAAGGAGACACGCAACAGAATAAGAGGTAAGAGGGTTCGAATCTGGGCACGGTCGGATGTATTAAATAATGTTTTTTCGCATGTTAGCTAAGAATGTGTTCGCTCTATAGATTGAGGCATGTTAATTGGTAATTATTTTTCAAATTGACTGATACTGCTAATCCGTCATAATTGGCTTGCGTCACTTAGCAATTATGTAGACTCATTATTGGCGTGCTTCACTTAAAAAAAATTTTAGACTCAATCGGTTTTTCCCAGTAGCGTTATTGGTCATATTTTTGCTTGTGTATGCGAAGTGCAACTTTGCCTCTGTGTCAAATATGGTCATTTGACCTTTTCAGCAGTGCTTGAGCTTTGAAAGTAAATAATTGAATAAAAAATTGTCATCCAATATTTTATCCGAAAAACAGTCTTAGTAAAAGGTCCCTGTGAACGCACATGTTCTGGGTAACTTCATATCTCTAAAACCTCTGTTGTTTTTGCTTGTAACGAAAAATCCAAATTTCTTTGAATGTACAAAATTGCTCAGTGTAACTCTTTCGATTCTTAAGTCCCGTTTTAGAAAAAAAAGTGGCCATCCTACTCAAAAAAGTTTTTGGTTGTCGAGTGTGGCAGTAGCGGATTAGGGGGAGAGGATGATTGGACAACCTCACGACCCTGAAGTTCCCCCTTTCGTCCTATTTGTTGCTGCCCTTTTTTAATCGACCAGCCCTAAAGTTGTAGGACTAAAATGATGCCGATCAAATTTCAAACTCTTTAAAATGTATCTTGGCAATATTGTAGACGTGAATAAGGATACCATCCTCAAGTAAACAATCGTTGGAAGTATACAATTGCTTAGTTTTTACTTTCTATCTTATTTCAATGCTTTATTGATCTCGTCTTGTAAGTAGCTGGCTGTGAAGCTTGTGTTGCTTTTTGCTAAACCAACACGCAAAGCGTGCAAACATATGCGACTGGCTGGATGTTTCAGCTCGTTCACAGTAATGCACAATCTCTCGGGTCTTTCTGCGTCGGGAAAGTATCGAAAGCGACCAAATGCCGATGACGAGATTCGAATTGGATTTCATTTCTGGTATTTGAAATGCAGAGATGAAATAGTGAGTTGACACAATCAAACACGACAATGCTCATAAGCCTACTGACTTGCAACGAGCATCCTTCAAAATTCTTACAAGTATTTGAAATGCAGAGATGAAATAGTGAGTTGACACAATCAAACAGGACAATGCTCATAAGCCTACTGACTTGCAACGAGCATCCTTCAAAATTCTTACAAGTATTTGAAATGCAGAGATGAAATAGTGAGTTGACACAATCAGACACGACAATGCTCATAAGCCTACTGACTTGCAACGAGCATCCTTCAAAATTCTTACAAGTATTTGAAATGCAGAGATGAAAAAGTGAGTTGACACAATCAGACACGACAATGCTCATAAGCCTACTGACTTGCAACGAGCATCCTTCAAAATTCTTACAAGTATTTGAAATGCAGAGATGAAATAGTGAGTTGACACAATCAGACAGGACAGTGCGCATAAGCCTACTGACTTGCAACGAGCATCCTTCAAATTCTTACAAGTATTTGAAATGCAGAGATGAAATAGTGAGTTGACACAATCAGTCACGACAATGCTCATAAGCCTACTGACTTGCAACGAGCATCCTTCAAAATTCTTACAAGTATTTGAAATGCAGAGATGAAATAGTGAGTTGACACAATCAGACACGACAATGCTCATAAGCCTACTGACTTGCAACGAGCATCCTTCAAAATTCTTACAAGTATTTGAAATGCAGAGATGAAATAGTGAGTTGACACAATCAGACAGGACAGTGCGCATAAGCCTACTGACTTGCAACGAGCATCCTTCAAAATTCTTACAAGTATTTGAAATGCAGAGATGAAATAGTGAGTTGACACAATCAGACACGACAATGCTCATAAGCCTACTGACTTGCAACGAGCATCCTTCAAAATTCTTACAAGTATTTGAAATGCAGAGATGAAATAGTGAGTTGACACAATCAGACAGGACAGTGCGCATAAGCCTACTGACTTGCAACGAGCATCCTTCAAAATTCTTATAAGTATTTGAAATGCAGAGATGAAATAGTGAGTTGACACAATCAGACACGACAATGCTCATAAGCCTACTGACTTGCAACGAGCATCCTTCAAAATTCTTACAAGTATTTGAAATGCAGAGATGAAATAGTGAGTTGACACAATCAGACAGGACAGTGCGCATAAGCCTACTGACTTGCAACGAGCATCCTTCAAAATTCTTACAAGTATTTGAAATGCAGAGATGAAATAGTGAGTTGACACAATCAGACAGGACAGTGCGCATAAGCCTACTGACTTGCAACGAGCATCCTTCAAATTCTTACAAGTGGTTAAATAAAGTACCCACATCAGAGGTGAAAGAATCAGTAAAAAATCTATTAAAACTTTGTTATATTTAGAGTAGACTTTTTCATTTTTTATCAACCCAGGCTTAATTTCACTTTTTGATATTCCGAGAAATTTTGATCTGTTTTGGTATAAGATCATCATGTAGAAGGAAACTGAGACATGTAATAGTAAAAGACTTACTCATGATAATCGTCCAATTTTTCAAAGGCGGACATATTATTTTGCCATATTCCTTGTAAAAACTTGAATTGGAAGCGCAACATTTCATAACAGTTACATTAGCTGTAAAACAGTTTCCATGAATTTTGCAATAAAGAAGAGTTTTTAAACGGTGTTGAATGTGATTGTAATAAAATAAGTTGAGTCATGATCCAATCCTTTTTTGAAAAAAGACTAAGCTCGTAGCATACGCTTCCGGAAAGTCAAAATTCTAATATGGTGACATTTACTGGCTGTTATGTCAACAAGTATTCCATATGAAGTTACTGATTTAGTACGAAAACCCTACCGCTTTAGTTTTTTGAACAAAATTTCATAATCAATTATGTCGGACGTTTTTTTGAAATAAAAAAACTGAGACACGTATTTTTGTCATCAATTGATCTCCGAATCAACTCTGTTACTGATAATATCGCCTACGATCACAATTATTTAGTTGAAAAATTGTATTGATTTTGTTCAAAAAATCAAATTTGCTCGCATTAAAGA